AGAGAGAATTGGAGGGGTAAAGGTAAGGTTGAGATAAAAACAATTTAATAATTGAAAAAAAAAATCATAATATTAATGGTAATAGTAAAAAATACAAGGCAGTAATGCACAATGCGGTTGCTCATCACTTGCTGACCGATGCCTAGCCCATTCCTGGCTAGTGAGCACAGAGAAAAGAAAATCCCCAAACTGCAATCTCAGAAGACCGAGAGCGAGCTTCCCAGCCAACCCTCATCTATATACTGAGCATGATATTGTATGATACGGAATATTCCATTGGGCAGTTTGCGTCCGTTGTTCTGGCTATGCTCCCTCATCTTCTGTGTACCTTCACACGAGCAGGACATGGGAATTTAGAAGGTCCTTGATGTCTTAGCACCAACTAAAACCATCAGAATATTCTCAACATTTTTCTCATACCGATTCCTATACGGACTCCAAGACACAGCACTATTCTAGGTATTAAGAAGAAAAAATTAACTATCCCAGCCAAAACCAGGACAAGGATGCTTATAAGGAAGATGGGGCCTGTTGTGATAGGGCAAGGTAATATTTTTAAACTAAAAGAGGGTAGTTTCTGGCTAGATGTAAGGAAGAAATTTTTTATGATGAGGGAGGTGAAACACTGGCGCAGGTTGCCCATAGAGGTTGTAGATGCCTCAACCCTTGAAACATTCAAAGCCAGGTTGGGTGGGGCTCTGAGCAACCTGATCTAGCTGAAGGTGTTCCTGCTCATTGCAGGAGGGTTGGATTAGATGATCTTTAAAGGTCTTTTCCAGCCCAAACCATTCTATGACTCTATAATCATAGCACAGAAATGAATGTTTTCTAGATGCCACCTGCAGGGATTTTTGTGTTCCCACAGTGAGTGTGTTTACTTTTGTCAGCCTGGATGGGCCAAGCATGCAGATTCCCAGCCCCTCTTTGGTCAGACCACACAGAGCTGCCTAGGGCCTTGCTGAAGGCTTATTCTGAATCTGGTTGAGAATAACTGTGCCCAAGGAGTGCTTCTGCATGAAGTCCATGGCCACTCTTTCTTCTTTGGGAAGTGGAGTGTCTTCAGCTGAGTCCCAGGGAAGACGACCTGCATTATGTTCCCACCCACCATGGAGAGGCAGTGAGGGACCATTTTCCATAAAGCTTGATCTGGTCCTTTCCTTCCCTTTGGGTGAGAATGAAATATGAAAAAAACCCCCCGAACAAATCAAACCCAAGATGTCAATCTCCCCAGTGAAAGAGGTTCTCCAAAGTGACCAGCACATAGCAACTGATCCCCTTTTCCAAATGGAGACCCAAGCAAGAAAACAATGGAGCAGGAACTTCCCAGGGAACAGCCTGACCTTGTAGAATGGGAAACTGGTAGTCAGAAAGCTCCAAGACTGTCCTAGAAAGCCTGACTGAGGAGTCCAGGCCAGATGTGTGCACAGATGGCATGTCTGCCTTGCAGGAAGTGTCCCAGAGGTGAAGCTGCGAAGAGCTTCCTGGTTTTGTGCTTCCAGTGGCTTGTGCTCGTGAGCATCTGCTCTCCTGTGGGTGTGTTTCTCCCATCTGGGCAAGTGGCTTTGGTCTTTTGGGAGAAAAAAGGAGAAAGGTGGGGACTGCAGTAGGTACCATGAGGTGAGACTTCAGCCACAATTGAGCCGTACAGCACATAACTGTCTCATCCTGGTTTTGACTTGAGGGTATTTCCTAGTCTAGACATAGCTCTTGTGCAGAACTACCTTGTGTTGCCTGCACAGGGTTGGTCCATGACCACCAGCTGAAGAACAGGCTCCTGCAGTTCTCATACAAGCTCCATTGTGCAGAGTGTTTGCACTGTGCTGCCACGCGTTGAGGGGAGCTGTGCAGAGATATGTAGGGGAGTAAAAGTGATGGACTGTCCTGAAGTCAGGATCCCTGCTCTGGACAGTCGGATGGGAGCAGCAGTGGTATGTGGTACAGGTGGACATAATGATGGTGTCGTGTAGGAAAACATGGGAGCAGGGCATGAGGGTCTTCTGATGTGTCTGTGCCCCTACGTGTCCCCCTGCCCCTCAAGCATGTGGGAAACTGGCACTAGGTCCTAGGAGAGGAGGTCTGTTCTGTGGGGATCCAGGGACAGCTGGGACAAGGAGGCCACTGTCAGCAGGGGTGGTCACAGTGCTCACCCATGGCAGAGCTTAGTCAGAAGTTGTCAGTTGCAGGGCAGATTGCACGGGGAACCAACACCCAAGGCACCCAGTGTGGTGCGCATCCCCCTGCTGCCCTCCTAGGCAGCAGAGCAAAGGCTCTCCGGTGTGGGGGACCTAGGCAGGGCAGAGCCTCCAGCAGGGCTGGGCCTTGAGGAGTGCCCAGGGTGGAGAAATGGGCAGCCAGAAGTCTCATCCTCTGCAATGAAAGGAAATTCAAAGTCCTGGTTCTAGGAATGAATAGCCCCATACACCAGTAAAGGCTGGGAGATCACCAGTAGCTTTACAGCAATTCTCTCTTGGTGGCTTCAAGTTGAACATGAGTTGTCAACACACCCTTGTGGCAGGGAAGGCCAGAGGCTGCATTAGGAGGAGCTTGGCCAGCAGGTGGGGGAGATGATCCCTCCCATCCACTCAGCACTGGTGAGGCTACATCTGGAATATCCATTCTGGGGGTCTCCAGTAAAAAAAAAAAATAATAATGCAGATACACTGTCTTTTCATCATACTTAAAGATCCGTCTGGTATCAGAAATCTCCTTGTAGCTCTTTCTCTACAGGTCCCACCCTTTCATGGATAAACTCAGGCTGGCTACAGATTGAGCAGAAAAAGTATTTAGGGACTTAGTTTCAGATTTATGCTTGCTGTAGACCTTTTAATTCAAAGGCACAGCCTCAAAAAAGTAATTCCTGGAGGTGACTAAATGTGTTAGGTGCCTCTGCATTCCTTCTTAAAGATCCTATCTGCTTAGATATGTGACCTCATCATCCCTGCCTGTTCCTGGGGAATGTCACGTGGGAGCCCTCTTAAGACTCCAGGTGAAGGCATTTGATAACTATTCTGAGGAAAGGCCCCATTTCTTCTAATGCATAAGTGATTCCTATAAATGAGGAGCAGGATACCAAACAGGGGAGACACATGATCTGAGTTTTGACAGGGAGTCCTTTTTTTCATGCTACTTGGAAAAGCTTTTGGGTTTCAAAACTTATAGGTGGACTGAATAAATCCAGGCAGCAAAGTGCAACAGTTCCACTCAAAGATTTAACTCGTATTATCTTAATATTGCCTAAGCAAGACAGAAGTGAAGGGTGTGAAGTAATGGACCAAAACTGGTATCAGAGTTTGATATAACTCTGAGATAAAGTAGTAAAAAAAAAGTGTAAGCAAGCCAGCCATAATTCTCTCTGGAGGTTTTTTAAAAGAGATGGAGGAGAGAGTGTGTACCTCTTTACTGTCAGGAATGCAGTTGGATCAGAAGCACTGGGATTGTCCACTATGGCATGCCATCAGCATGACAAGCATGATACTGATGGAAAGTGGTAGTCCATGCTCTGACAGGTGTACTGACCCAGCGGTTTTGAGAACCAACTATGTGATGGGAGGTGGGGTTTCAATCCCATTTCATGTGTCTCAGCAGATCTTTTTTATTCCCTATGTTTAATTGTTTTCTTACCCTTGGGTTAACCTAATTGGATTTCAGGCATGTTTGTCTCTTGTGACATCTCTGCAAAGCTGCTAGGAGGAGGTTGTTGCTCTATTCTGCTGTTATAACCCTTGACCAGTGTTAGAGGAATTAATGGCACAGGTGTGAGTTGTTCTGGAGTTGTAAGTGGCTGTTGGCAATGGCAGCACAAAAAGCAGAGAAAGCGTAACAGCAGAAAAAGCAAGCTTCTAGGGATTCAGATTTCATGGATAAGGAGTACACTGGGCTGGTGGAGGGGAGAGATGTCAAGTCAGTAAGCAGTCAGCACTGTCATTGAAGGGGTAGCTTCAGCTTTACTGAAATTTTTGGAGTATACAACCAGAGAAGTCTCATTCCTTCCCTACAAGCCCACTGCCTGGGAAGTCCAGGCTGCTTAAGTTTCTGAAATTTCATACCAAGCAGCATGGTGGTTTTCACTGTAGTATTAGCACTAGATTGGAACACAATAAGAAATAGAGACTTTTCTGGTATTAAACTTTGCTGAGATTTAAGATATTTAGTGGTTGACACCCTCTGTTCTGCTGGTATCAGGACATTGGCATGGTGTCTGTTTTTACTTCAAAGCCACAGTATTCCAGAAACCATTTACAGATTAAAGGACCTGAGCTTGATGGCCAGAACTGAGCTGAGTGAGGCATGTTGATACTTCCCCATCTGTGACATTACCTTGTTTCTGGGTAAGACTGAAAGTCACAGAGAAATGGATTTGCTTCATGGCAGCCTTTATCCCTAATAACAATCCTTGTGCCTTTTAATGTGTGCATTTTAATTAGGTGCTGCAAAAAGCAGCAGCAAGATGACATAGCTGGTCATATGCAGGCACAGCCTGTGTTTATCTGCTTTGGTCCATTGCTCCCCTCTTAGTACCTGGAATCCCCAGAAGAGGGAACTGACTGGCCAGCAACTGGTGCAAGAGATCGATATTTTTCTATCTCCTTCCAAATCTCTTTCTTTCTCACAGCTCTGCAGCAAGTGGCCAGAAACCTGAGTATGTTCCCCATATGGAGACTGAATTTCAGATGTTGCATTACATCAGTCTCTGCCATTGATTTATTATAGGCTGGAATGATTTGCCTGCCTGTGTCATGTTCAGTTTCTCAAAGAGAGAGGGACTCATAAACCCCAGGATCTGCCTGGGTGTGACTGGCCTACTCTGCCAATGAGTAGCTAACTGATAGTCCACTGAGGGTTTATGATATGCCACTAAAGAGTTTAATGGATTACCAAGCAAATGCTGTGTGAAGTCTTTATAAAGCTCCAGCTTCGCACTGGGAGCATAGTGCTTTGGCCTATGAGTTAGTCTGAGTGCTAAGAAGAGAGAAAGTTTGAGACACAAAAGAAAGACAGAAAAAGACCAAAGCCAGAGAAAATAAATTATATTCAGGTTAGGAAAGTCTATACTCTGCAGGCACTATGAAAGGCTTTCTTTCTTTTACAGTCCTTGCAGTCCTTACACTGGTGCACAGCTGCCAAGCAGTCTACGTTCAGGTGAGTTTTCTGCTCTTTAACTTGTTGGTATTAGAAGTTCAACAAAGTACTGTTACTATTTCAAGTATCATGGCTGCACCAGGAATCTTGAACTAAATCAATAGACCCGAATTTTTGCTTTGCTCTGGCTTGATATCCAACTTCATGTCCCTATGATTCAGTTGTTCTTTCTGTAAAATACTTGAGGTATTTACTAACATGCTGCTGCAGTTTAACTTTACAAGCCATATCACTGCTCTGAAATCCCTTGCTGACTGAGACACAGCATTTCCAGATTTTTCTTTTGCACATAACCCCTTTGTGTTGTGAAGCTGGAAGAACAGGGAACACCTCTGACTTTATAGAATGATCTAAACAGGATGTGAGAAAAGAGAAATAATCTTGTCTCGACTGCTTCTAGGCAGGAAGTTCTTTATGAACATGATCTGCAAGCTTCTGTGATGGATCCTACACGTCACATTAAAAAAAGGTGAAAGAAATGCTAAGCTGGATCCAATGAAATATTAATAAGCAGATAAGCTATTAGAGGAGGCTATATCACATTTTCCAAAGTACACAGCGCCTATGACTGGTATTACATGCAACATGGAAGCAGCTAAGAAGGTGCTTCAGTGCTCTTGACTGTACTTGGGACTGTGGACCTGTTTGCAGTCATCCTTAGAAACCATTCAGGAGATTTCAGGTTGATTGCAATGTAAATAACTTCCTCAGAGTACCAAGAGAGCTAATATTTCTTAAACAATTCTTGACTCACTTTATATGTGTGCCGTAGGTATGCCTTGAAATATCCTCTTTTTCTCATTTGGATGTCAGAGATATCCAGAGATACCAGGTTTAAGTTATTCCTTTCTTCCAAACCATTCTTTAACATTTTGAGACTCCAGGGGAACACATATCTTCCTACTTAATAAAAAAAATCTCAGTTTTCCACTTGGAGGCATTAAAAAAACCCTAAACGTGACTAGTGTTTCTAGGTTGGGTAAAAGTGTAGAAAGTGTAGCTCTGGAGTTTTAGCTTCTCTCTGCAGATTCAATTCTTATCTCATTAACCATTAAATCTGTATTTTCCCCAATATATGGGCAGTGTACTCTGCATGTGTGTTGCACTCCTTTCACTTGCACTGCTTGAGTTCCCTAAGGTCTGACTAATTACTCAGTGCACAAAGTTGGATTATGTTCTTGTTTTCTGAAATTCTCCCTAAGACTTCCCTTCCCACTCTTGTACTATATCAGAAGTTGTTCATTTAACAGAATGTTTTTCAAAGCAGAAGTGAAGTTCATGTGACTTCATATCATGTTTTTAAAGACTGAGTATCACTATCTCCACACTTTCCATCATAGATCTTAAATGAATATGGTGGGAGAAGGTTTACTAGGTGTAGAGCGAAAACAGAAAAACCAGAGATGTATTATTTTGGCCTGCACTATTTCTGTGATAAAATCTCTTAGTTCAGCAACACAGTATGCACTTTCACCTTGGAGGAAAGATGCTGCTCAGATTGAGATCTCTCTAATATATCTTTTTAATCTGAGGTGTTAGGGGGTTTGTTTATTTTTTTATTATTATTCCTTTGGTTTTTATCACCAGGACGTACAGGTCTCAGGGTTCATTTCTACTTTCCAGTCTCTCTGAAACTGTCCCTGTGGAATTCCATCCTTTTTTAGTTCTCTGTTTTATGTTTTCGAGATCTTTGACCAATAGCTGAATCAGCTGAAACTGCATTTATACAGTAAAAGTTAATTTTTCATAGGCAACTAATTAATCTGAATAAAATGGTACACTAATTGCAAGTAGAAAAGAGACTTATTAAGTACGTGCATGTTCGGAGTTTATCTGGTGTGGGTTGTTTGGTTTTTTGGTTTTTGTTGGTTTGTTGTTTTTTGGGGTTTTTTTAATTCTTTAACACCAAAATTCTGTGATTCTGTAAAAAAAACCCCAACAAACCAAAACCAACTACACCCCCACACACACCCCATATCTCACACTATTCAACATTGGGCTTATGAGACTATGAAACGAGTGACAATATTTTGTCTCAAGCTTTATCAGAGTCACTTCACTTTATTGCTTTGAATGAGTAGATGTTACTTGATCAACTTGCTGACCACATGTCAGTCATTAAACTAGGTTAAAACACATGCTAAAGATCAGTTTGAAAATGCTTATTTCTCTTTTTGGCCAAACTTATTGTCTACAGACATAAACAGACTTTATGCGTCTAAGCTTAACAATAGCAACACCTCAGCAGTGGGACTCACTTGAAACTGAGGGAGTGACCATTAGCAGATTCACAAGGTCTAGCAGTCTAAAACATGGAGTAGTATTTCCCAGAATACTCTCCCAGCCTTCTGAAGCTTTTGGTGTAAGCTTTGAGTCAGAACTGTCTTGTATTTATGCTGCCAATAACTTGTGTTTCATTAATTGTGTGGACAAGTTTTAAATTCATGGAAACTTGCCACAGTACCTTGGGGTGAGGGATTTCAGCTCTTAACAATGTGTAATGTGAAGGAATAGCTCCTTTTGTGTGGTTAGAGCCTGCCACATGACAGCCAACACTTGAAATTCTCCACTGGTGTATTAGAAGAAAGAGTGAACAAAATAAATTCCCATTTACCCTCATTCAATTCATAATTTTGTAAATTTCTACCACATATTGCCCAGTCATCTGTTTTCTAGGCTGAAGATTCCCAGCCTGTATCTTTCAACCCCAGATTTTATGGGTCTCTCTCATGGGAGTGCACTAGTTCTGCCTCCATCCACATAACACATAACACGTGACACATAACGAAACACATGACACATCACTGCTGCTCTGTCTTAGCCTTGAAGAGCTGATCATTTTGCCTTCATTCAACATTGATTTTATCTAGGCTGTGTTTCAACACTTTCTTTTCCCTGTATTATAGTTTTTGGGAGAGCTTATGGTTGAAATGGAATGGATTTGGCTAAGGACTGACTTCCTGACACTTTTTAATTTCTGGTTCTCTCTACATAGGATGGAGACTTGAAATTCTCTCTTGAGTCTGTGAAGAAGCTAAAGGAGCTTATGGATGAGAACAGATACATCAACCGTCGCATGGTGGTTCCCATGTCTAGCTATTCTCCATGTAATGAAAAAGATCTCCCTGAGGAGTTCCAATCTGTGTGCAAAAGAGAAGATGCATCCATGATTTTTGAGAGGCTAAGTATGTAGCTCGTATTTCATAGTTGCCATTTTGGTCACACTTTTCAACCTTAAGCATTCAAATAGCAGCAGGCAAAGAAACATAATTATGGTTCTGTCACTTTGAAAGAGGCTGAGAGAGTCCATGTTGCCTTTCTACTACTCCTTCTGCAAGGGTTGGACTACACTAGCTGTGAGCTCCCTTACAAGAGAATTCTTGCTGTGCTGAGCTTAGCTGTAGCCTGCACAGATCAGGCTGCTGTAACCATGAAAAATGTTCTTCCAAGTAGCTGCACACTAACTTACATGACTTAAAGTGAGAGAGCCCACAATCTCCCCTGGCTTACAGGAAAGTCAGGGTTGTATCACTCAGTTCTAGCTAACTATAAGTTGTGAACAGGTCCAATTGCTCTCTCTAATCAGTGTAGAAGAAGATGTTTTTCCAGGCAGCCTAAAAGAGGTGTGAGATATAAATGAAGTGAGTCAGTATTTGCCATTATCTGTCTCCAAGACATGCATGGTGATTCTTGAACTGGCTGCTTCTGGCAGGTGCACCCACCTGATGAAAATGGGGGCTTCCTGGCTGCTGAAATGTAGTGGCTGTTGATTTCCTTTTCTCATGCCCTCATTCTCAGGGCTTTATGGTATTTTGGGCCCTTGGTCAATGGGAGCTGATATTGACCATGGATCAGATTTGGCTTGGATATAAATGGAGTCCCATGGGGGAGCCATTTTGAGTGGAGCAGCACGCTGTGGTCGAGGGCTCTCCCCTTGGGTCAGGACACTGCCCTGAGAAGTTCCTCGAGGTTGAGAGACCTCCTTTTTTTATGTGAGTGACAGAGCATTTTGGATTGTCGTTAAAACTTAGGAAGTGGTGATAGTTTTGTTCTCTCACAGAATTTTGAATCTGCCATTGTATGTTTGTGGAGTGCTAGTTAATTGTGTTGACAAAAAAACTGGGGGTTTTTTGGTTGTTTTTTGTTCATTTGAGAGCCTCTGCAACACTGCTACAGGGTCTGATTTTTTAAATTTTATTATGTTGCATATATCTGTTGTCCAGTACAATGGACACTTTAGGAGGAAACACTACCAATATAATGAATGTTGTGATGCTACAAGCCACATCCCCACCACCCTCCCACAAGATGTCCTATTGTTCTCTTGCCTCCACATGTTCCCATTATTTCCCCAATGAATTCAGGTTTTATTTCATTCTTTAAGCCAGATTTTTGCAAGAACTAATTTTACTTAGCAGTAATAACTCCAAGGAACATTAAAACTCATAAAACAGTAATGGAAAGAAGCCTCCAAATCCCTTGATGTGTGGCTGTGCTCTCTAAGAAATTCTTTTGCCATCTCACTGAAACCCTCTCATTTCTCTCCAACAGACCTGGCTGTCCAAGACCCTGATTTATGTGAAATCTGTGCCAATGCTGCCTGCGCTGGTTGCTTTTGAGTAAAGATGAAACAATTCAAAGAAGATGTGTCAAGCTAGGAAGTTTGTGCATTCATACTGCAAGATCGCATACTTTCACAAATCACTATTTGGGCTCCATCTCCAGTACAATCAAACTGGAACTGCTAACTCATGTAGACATACCAGGACTAGTCCTGAAGTAGTCAGATAAGGTGTCACCTGTAGTTCAGTTCTGGCTACAAGGAGACTCTAAACATCATCTGAGAGGTTTCAGTCCTGCATGAGATGTATCACACTGGAACGAAAATGTCCTAGGCACAGTTTCATTATCCAATATTTTGTCTGGATTGGAACACAATGAGTGAAATTGAGCAGTCTCCTGCAGCTTTTTTAATATCTAAATCTGCCTGTGGTTTGGCCTCACCCACACCTAACACCCCCACAGCATTGGGTTATCATCTTTTCCAGCCCATGGTTTCCAGTGTGTGGATAACTGTATCTCTACCTGTAGGTCTACATGTGACATGTATGTTTGTAACAGAACTGCAGCAAGTAACTTGTCCCCATGTTACTGGTGTTTAGCAACACTTTCATAGCTAGAAAATTCTCAGTCTGTTACTTGTAGAACCTTTTGCCAATTTAGGGAATGGATGTGGAGGAGCACAGGAACACTTTCTGCATAGTTGTATGGAAGCTCCCTTCTTTTGACAGATATTCATGTTCATTAGGCTCCATTTAGGAGAAAGGAAGTCCAAACTGCAATGCTGGAATCACTCTGAAATTAAAATATTGCCTTGTGTTTTTATTTATTGGTGGCAAGATTGGGAAGAAAGGATCTGCCCATGTTTATATGCTGTGTATGAAATAAAATCTAGTAACACTTTGGGGTTTTTTTTCGTTTATGTTTTTGCTGGGTTCTGGGATAGGGATTTTTGGTGATAGTCTGCTTGCCTACTTGCTTTTCTCCTATATAAGGTCTTTCATGTCTGGGTCTTCACTGGAATAAAAGATATTAATATTGTCCTGAACTTAAAACAATTTGTGGTCCTCGTATGAACCATAGTAATATAAGATGGCATGATAGCTTTTACATTATTCCTTTTTACTTTTAACTGTTGAATTATTATCTCAATTTCATATATATGGGCCCTCAACTCAGAAACCAAGTTCTCCGAAGACTGTCAATGCTATAGAGCATTGACATTCTCTATCCCAAGATCTAGGTAACTAAATCAAAAACTGATGTTCAAAAAAAAAAAATAGTATTAGGTGTGTAAATTCCTGTTTCATATGACAGAAAAGCTATGTGGATGCAGAAGAAAATTCCCCACATCCAGTACGTTGACCACTCCAGGACAAAAAAAATCCAACAGCGAATGCCAGAGTTCACACTAAGGCTTTTCCTGCTGCCTTGACATTGGCACCTCTGGGAAACTGGATTTCCTGACTCAAAACACTACCTCAGCTTATTTTAACCCTAAAGTTATTTCTCTGAATATAAAAAATGTGGCTTATTATTTTCTCTGAAAACTGATGTGACAAATTATTAGGTCTTAGCACAACACCTTGGAACAGCTTATGTAGAGAGGTCAGGTTATGCACTTTGCAAGGTAAACTTGCTGGCAACAAGACTAGAACCAATTTATTCCTGCTGATAGGCTGCCAGTGTTCAAGTGGGGTGTGAGGGCTGGATGCATAACAGAAGAGCGAATGATGGAAAAACAAGATATATTTCAAAGAATTATCCCCTAGTTTTCATTGCCTTTATTGACAGAGGTAAGACAAAGTCTTCAGCCTTTTGCTCAGAAGCAGTAAGCTGCTGGCTCAGCTCAGTTGTCTCACCTAATTGTACCTTTCAAGGGCAGAGGTGAGAAACATCCTAAATTCTAACATTAGCCAGTGTCCTCAGGTGTGCCAGATACCCTGAGATTAATAACATATTTCAAGTCTATTCCTCCCACAGCCTTGACTCAAAGTGTGTCCCAGTGCGCAGGGATCTGGGCAAACACTCTGCTTCCCAGACAGCTCCACTGTCCCGAGGCACAGCAGACATTCAGACACAACCTCTGTGGCAGGAAGATCTGGATATGAGAACTGCCTTGTATCCCTGACTAGATGGAATCACAGGGAGGGTCCAGAGACCTGGATGGGAACATTGTGGATTGCGCAACAGCCTGAATTTTGGCATGGTGGCTTGGACTGAAACCTGGGGGAAGTAAGAAGTGTCAAGCAAATTTTATATAAGCTCCTTCTAATTTGTTGGCCAACATAAAAAAAAATGCTAAACAGGTGATTATTCTATTTTGAAAAAAACACATTTCAAGCTGAGGATAGAACAAAACTGCATGGCATAAACATGCTGACGTCACTTGAGAAAGAACAAACATTTGCACGCTAACTGCCTTTGTCCTTCTCCGTTTTGATTTACAGTTATCAAGGGACAGAAATGTAATTTTAAGAGCATGAGTTTTTGAGAACCTTTGTGGTACAGGACCCTGACACTGGAAGGGATTTTACATAAAACAAATGTGTATTCTATTTATATGATAGGCCTGTAAAATCACACATTGTAGAGAATGATGCTGTGAACTGGTCCCAGTATCCTCATCCATGCTAAGAAATAAATAGACTTGTAACAACAACAACAAGGACCTGCAGACCCTTTCAGCATCACTGCCATAACCTCAAACCAGTGTGGAGCGTAGTATGAGGCCTTGAATAGAAACATAGAAGAATTAAAAATATTCAGGTGATAAGTAAGGGAAGCTGTTCCTGATTGTTAGATGAATCCCAGACTAAGGAGTTGGGACTCTTTTCAAATGCTGTCAGGCTTTTTTCCTTCCATAACTGACTTGAGTGGATCATGTTTAAAGCAAGTTTATTATACAAATTCAGTGTGAGTTTTAGTACTTTCCCCCCAATTTAATAGTTCTTTTTCAGAAAATATTTCAGTGAGCAATTTCATGCAAGTGTCTGTGGTGGTGCAATTCTTACCCCTCCCTGCCCTCCTTGTTGGGCTGCTTGGTGCCAGGTGTGATTCCATCCACATTCCCCCAGGCCATACGCCCTCTGTGGAGATAAGGACTGATAACCTTGAGGAGCCTGGCTCCTGCCCCTCCCAATTGCTTGGAAAGGGTTATACTGGCCCATCATCTCCTGATGGCCTGACACACCTGTGCCTGGGATGGGATCAGATGGAACAATAACAGGGCTGCATGTTATTCAAATTCTTGTGCAACTGCCAGAAGGCACCAGATAGTATTTGACAAAAGTCAGTTATCTTGGACCCTATAAACTGCGACCACCAGAGAGACCTTTTGAGCTCTCCTGGATCGCAGCGGGCTGTGACCAGCATCTCCCCTGAGCTGGGACACCCCTCAGGTACCAAAACCCTTACGGTGTCGTCTGCTCCAGACGGAAGGCCAGGGCGAAGTCCCCCTGCTCGAGTCTCAATTATCGCCTGTTGCGGAATGCCAAGGCATTGGGAGTATTTGCTCTAAACTCGAGAGGGAAATTTTCTTTGAGCCAGCTTCTATTTCACCTGTTTATTGGTGGGTGTGTGGGTACGTACCCTTGCCCTTGTTCCTGTGTGCTTGTCCCTTTTGTGTTCATTTTACTGAATCCAAACCCCTTTGTTCCTGTATGTATATGTCTGGTTTGTGTATGCGCCTGTTCGTATGTGTATAAATTAAGGTACCGTTAAGTAAGTTAGAGTGAATCTTGTAATTTTAGAACTTGAATAAGTCCCTTTTCTTTCTGAGTTATTTTGTATTGACAAATAGTTATTAATAAATCTAGATTATTTTTCTAAATCATTATTGTGTCAATACTTTCATCCGTGACAGTGTCCCACGAAGATACACTAAATCCCATTTGAAAAGCCCAGTAACAGGGCTGGACCTGCTGCCTTTGCACGGTGTATTTTATCACAACTATGCAAATGCTTCGTTTCTGGTTTATGGCTCTAATTGCAAATTGAAACTATTGCCTTTGCTCTGCTCTCTGTGATGTCAATGGACATGTAATCAGATCAGGAGATGGAAAATCATTGAAAGCTGAGTTTATTTAATAAATTTCCTGCAATGAGCTCTTCTGCCATTTCTAGTATTTCTGTTTCATGTTCACATCTTTGAGAACAAATTTTACTATGCTATATAATTCCAATCTTAAAATGTCTAACACTGGATTTATGAGAAATACACAGGAAATATGCAGTTTGATGCTGGGCTATAAAAATGGAACAATCTTCCAAATTTGTACCTTGGACTACTAAAAACATCTATGATTTTATAAATTATCTCTTGAGATTTGGTGTTTTCTTGAAAGTTCCACCTCCTGAATTTACAGGATTGGAGAAGAGTTTCAGTTTGCTTTTAACACAGAAAAGTGAGAGATTTAAGCTTTTTCATTAGGAATGCAAGGTTCAGGGTGTGTCTTGACACACACTGAGTACAAATCATGCCAGGATTTTATTATTTTAACATGGAGAGCAGAGCCCCCACTCCAAAGGCTGAGCTCTGAACTCCTTCTCTCTTCCTCTTATCTATATATGAACCCAACTCTCAGGGAACTAAAAGGGTAAGAAAGCAGACCACATATCTCTGCCTGGCCATAGCCCCTGATGATCAGGACCCCAACCCATAGAATAACTCCCCAGCTTCAGCTCAGACCTGTCTCTTCGTTATGGACCTGCCTGGTGATCATGGGGCTCTATCTGAACTTTTTTACTGTCACTGGCCCCAAATCTGGTCCTGACCTGTACATTGACTTCCTGAATTAACCTCAGACCTGCCTCACCACCATGTATTCTGAAAATTTGAACTCTTGATTGAACCTGTCCACAGACTTTGGGTCTTCCCTGCTCAACAAACCCAGGTGCTGTAGGACTGTGCTGTGGCTGGTGACACCCCTGCCCCACTGGCCATGGGAAAGCCCTTGGTTCACAGCTCCCCATCCCTTCGGGAGCAGATGGCTCTCACTGTGCTCTGACAATTCTTCATGATGTTTATAACCCAGATGTTAAGTTGAATGAAATCCTACAACAGCAAGAGCTAGTTTTGACATAGTCAACTTCTCGGCATCAGGCCACAGTCCAAACGCCTTTCTTCAAGGCCTCACTGGCAATTCCACTAGGTAATTTGTATTATGAGAAAAGATCAGGTTGATTCCCTCATTTTTCACCAGACCACTAGGCTTGTGTTATCTAACACATCTTTCTAGTTTCCAAATCCATTATTTTCCCCTTAAAATCCTCATATTATAAATTCATTCTTTTCTTTCACTTCTGTTCTACAAGTGATTCCTGAATCACAATTCTTTGTGGGGATGGAGAGCCAAGGGGAATCCCATGGGTGGTGGAGACAAGGGCAAGGGCCTCACCAGTCATGGCACAATCCCACAGTCCCTGGCTAAGAAGACCATGGCAGACCCAGCCATAGCCAAGATCAACTAAATCCAGATTATCAGAAGAGTTATGATGAAGAGGCAGGGCTGAGGTCAATCTGGAAAGTCAATGTGCAGGTCAGGTTCAGGTCCAGTGCTGGCAATCAGGAGCTAATACTGCCCCATGACTGCCAGGCAGGTCCATAATGAAAAGACAGGTACAAAGTTAGCCTGGGAAATCAGACCATGGCTTGAAATCCCTTTTAATGGGGTTCATAAGCACAGGTATGTCTGTGGCTGTGGTGGAAACAAAGCTCAGGCAGGGACTGAAGCCCATGGGCAGCGTGGAGACCCCAGCTGAGATTGGTCAGGACCATTAAGGACTATTGGTGCCCTCAGGGCCCTGACATCATCTTGATCTAAAAAAACCATTCAATTTTTTCAGATTCCAGTGGCTGAGAGCTCTCCCACTTGCAGGTGAGAAATGG